CATTAATGAGGAAAAAAAATTAACTTAAATGATTTTAGCAAATGGCTGCAATATAACAAAGAGTGAAAATTTTAAGGGGGTCTGAATACTTTCCGTACCCACTGTATATATATATAATTCTTGAAAATAAAGTATATATATATATATGTAGTTATTATTACTGTGATTACAGTGGGTGATTACAATGCTGGAAAATGAAATATTAAATAAAACTTTGTATTTATTATTAATATTGTGTGTGTGTGTGTGTGTGTGTGTGTATGTACACAATATTATACACAATATCTAACAAAATATAACATGTAAATATATATGTGTATATATGCATAATAAATATTTGTAAATATACTTTTTTCCAATTTATATTCAGACATTGTAATTAGCCATTGTAATCACTGTAATTGTAATAATTGATATTAATATTTAGTAAAGCAATTATAATAATAAATATATAAACAACATGAATGTGTATGTGTGCGCATATATATATTTATTATTATATTCACGCATATATAAAATATTTATATTTAATTTATATATATTTATTAAAATATAATTTATTTATATTTAATATGAAAATTCTTTCTTTCTTTCTTTATTTTTTATTTTATTTTATAAAGTAGATTCAAGTAAAACTACAGGCAAAATCTAGTTCATAAAATGAAGGCCTGTTTTCACACTGTTTTAAAATGAGATTTAATCATTTAATTTATATTTAATAACTTAATTGAATCATTTAATCATTTTTATGCACCAGTAAAACATTATAGAGTCATAAACAGCAATATTGAACTACATGCGTGTTTATTATTTAATACGTGAGCATTAGCATGCAGAAAGCACCTTCTCGTTGAAGCCTTTCATGATGTGTGGTTTCCCAGAAGTCCCGTCACTGAGGGAGGGGCAGGACTGGAACGGGACACCGTATTTATGTAATTGACATGTGGGACGCGTCCCTGTAATCCTGGACAGAAAGATCTCCTTCTGCTGCTTCATTTTCATAAGCTCATAGCCACTGAGTGCGTTTGTTTAATAAGAGAGAGACCTTGATTTGTGTTTTATCCTGTTGAAATAATGAAATAATGATTGATAAAGTTTTAATAGCACATGCTAGTGATATCGTATTGTTTTTCTAATGCATAATCTTTGCCATGAAATAGCATGTGAAGC